TATATGTGGTCCGTCATTGACTGAAATGTCGTTGTGCAGTACATGACTGTACTTTTTCTTCAAATGCCTTCTTGAAATTCAAGACATTGTGTATATTAAAAGGAAAAAAAATTAACTGGGTAAGAATAGTTTCCTGAAGTTAAGTTCAGTGTAACTAAATCAATAATTTTAAATGTATATTTAAAATTTTTAGGCTCCCCTAAAAACTATTTGCTGAATATTAAAATTCAAATGAAACAAAACAAAACAGGCCAATTAACAGGGAGAGACAAAGTAAGCAGATGAAATGCTTCAAGAACAACTTTCGATGCAACTTGATGACAAGTACCAATGGAATTTCTAGGCGGAGAAGGGCAGGCAACAGCTTAACCATATCAGATTAACCATAGAACTGACTTATTCAGTTTGATGAGAAACACCTACAGAATAGCAATCTCAAATGATGGGGAGGAAAGGGGATGATGTGTTCTGGGACTTATATCCAACTGTTGCAGTCCTATGTCATTGGCTATATGTAAATCTGAACTCAAATGCAATCTGGTCTGCTTATGTGTAAATGGACTAATGTGAAGGAACAAAATACAGGAGAAAATCTAAATTTTGAGTTGGCTGGTCAGATAATGGTTAGCTGTGGGTCTTCTGACTGAACTGAAAATATGTCAAATGGTCATGTTTTCATGATTTTACTCTTAACCTGTGTTCTTTTATTTGAGTTATTGGAATGCCTTACAGCCTCACAGGGAAAATTGTTAAATGGCTAAACTAACTACAATTTCATAAACAGAGCATATGAAATGTTAAATTAGATTAAACATATTATAATTATAGTGTTTATAAATTAAGCATATTCTAAGATATGAAATTATAAAACATTGATTTAAAAACTACTTCCAAAGTACAAATCTTAATGAACCAGAATCCTTAGAAAAAGGAGTATTGGAATTAAATTTTATTGTTAGTTGGTGTTAATTCTTTAGTATCACAAGGATGGTTTATTGTAACCCTCTTGAATGGTTTGTTTTTTACCCATAAAATCATCATCTGAATTCTGATGGTCATAGATAAAAATTTTATTGTTTGAAGGTAAGCTTCTACAAACACTTACTGAACTGAACACCTTTATGCTACACTTGTTTGACAAATCAAAAATCTTCTTTGAAACTTTAGCAAATTTTGACTTTTTTTTTGAGTTTCATTTATTCCATTCTTTTCAACTTTCACTTGTGACATCTATCATTGAAAATATACCAGTTCCCAGAGTTCTAGTGAAATAAAAATTTATTATAAGGAGTAAAGTAGCAAGACTAGATCTACATATAACTCTGATCACAGATATTACAGTAACATTACATTAAATTTCACTCCACTTACCTACCCAGGGCCTGGTTTAAGGCCCTGTATGCTTGAATTTCATACCATTGACGACCAGGTAAAAGACCTCTCAATTCTGAATGCTGGTCATTATATTGTCGCTTTAGATTAACCTAATTATTAAAAAATATATTAAAAATACATTAGATAATTAAAGCTCATTAAAAAAAATTATATTAACTTCTAACATTTCAAACATCATTTTATTAAGGTAGAGAGATTTTTGTTTCGCAGTACTAAATTTGTTTCAGTTCATTTAAAACGTTTCTATTCATCCTAACATTCCCTGAATTCCTATATGTTCATAATTAATTTGATTTGTGGTGATGTCAATCAGTTGCACTGAAAAATAATTTGCATAATATAAAATCATAAGCTTTCACTATACATGGAGATATGTTCAATAAACGTAGTCATATAATCACAATCAGAATGTAGAATATTTTTATTATTCAAAAAACTTCCCTCCTATCCCTTTTCAGTTAATCTCCTTCACTGCTGACCCTGTTTACCAATGATCTGCTTCCTGTTTTGCCTTTTCAAGAATTCCATGTAAAAGTCGCACGATATGTAATTGTTTGTCTTTTGTCATTTAACATAATGATTTTGGAATTCATTCATGTTGAAAAGTACATCAGTAGTTCATTCTTTGAAATTTATGCAGTCTGATAATCTCTGCTTTTTAACTGGGAATGTTTAGACCATTCACTTTTGATGTAATTATTGTTACAATGTGGCTTAAATCCACAGCAACAGAATCCACATTCTTCTCAAGTGCACATGGAGATTATAGGTTGGGCCACAAAACAAGTATTAAGAAATTTAAGAAAATTAAAACCATATGAACTATATTTTTCAACCACAATAGTATGAAATTAGAAATCAGTAACATGAAGAAAATTGGAATATTCATAAATAAGTGGAAACTAACACACACCTGAACAACCAACGAGTCGAAGAAAAAAATCAAAAGACAGTGAAAAAAAAAGATCTCAAATAAACACTCTAAGAAACTAGAAAACTACCTTAAGAAACTAGAAAAAGAGCAAACTATCTCAAAGTTAACAGAAGGACACAATTATGATAAAAGCAGAAACAAATGAAATAGAGACTAGAAAAAAACAGAGGAAAAATCAATAAAAACTAAGAGTTGGTGTTTTGAAAAGATAAAACATAAATTTTTGCTAACCAAGTAAAAAAAAAACACTCAAAATTATAAATGAAAGAGTAGATTAAAACTCATAACAGAAATACAAAGGACTCATAAGAGACTACTATGAACAATTATATGCCAAATAATTAATAACCTAGAAATGGATAAACTCCTAGTAACATACAACTGACTAAATGTTGCCATTTAGTTGTCATTTACACCAAATGACTATTTGGTGAAGATACAGAAGATCTGAACAGACCTAAAAAAGTAAAGAGATAGAAGTAATATTTTACAAATCTCACAACAAAGAAAAGCCTACGACCAGATGGCTTCATTGGTGAATTCTACCAAGCTTTTAAGGAAGAATTAGCATCAATCCTTCTCAAATGTTTCTGAAATACTGAAGAAGAGGGAACACTTCCAAACTCATTTTAAGAAGGCAGCACTACTCTCATACTAGAGTACGAGGTAAGATAAAAAAAATATGGTGAAAAAAAAATTTTTTTTAAAGAGTTTATTGGGAAAGTGGGGGAAGTGAACAGTGTTGGGGAATCAGGGAAGGGGAACAGACATGTTGCTGTCCTTTTGTTCTTCAGTCTAGTTGTGAAGGATGTCACTTCACTGGCCCATGTTGGTATTGTGATCATTGTGCTCTTCATGGCTGAGGCAGATCGGTCGCTGGACATTGGACGGCCACTCACGATGGCTCAGGCGGCTGCTGGCAGCTCATGCTGGCTGCCCGCCACTCATGGTAGTTTATGGCAGCCCACTGCAGGCCCACTGCAACCCCATTGCAGCCCCACTGCAACCTCTGCTGTCGCTGGCGACTCACGGCAGCCCAGCTCCAGGTCGAGCTGTTGTTCACCATCTTAGCTGTAGAGGGCGCAGCCTCACTGGCCCATGTGGGATCCGAACTGGTGGCCCTGCTGCTCAGAGCTCATGCTCCCAAGCCAACTCTTTTTTTTTTTTTTAAAGATTTTATTGGGGGAATTGGGGGAGGGGAACAGACAAGTTGCTGTCCTTTTGTTCTTCAGTCTAGCTGTGGAGGACGTTGCTTCACTGGCCCAAGTTGGCATCATCATTGCGCTCTTCCCAGGCGAGGCAGATCAGTCGCTGGCCTCTAGACGGCCGCTCATGGCGGCTACTGGCCACTCACGCTGGCTGCCGGCCACACACGGTAGCTTATGGCAGCCCACTGCAGCAGGAGCTGTAGCTTACACCGTTGCCGGTGACTCACGGCATCCCAGCTCCAGGTTGAGCCGCTGTTCACCATCTTAGCTGTAGAGGGCGGTGTCACTGGCCCTCATGTGGGATCCGAACCAGGGCCCTGCTGCACAGAGCTGGCGTCCCAAGCCAGCTCTTAACCAACGCACCAGTTGGTTGGACCCCAAGCCAACTCTTAATTGACAAGCCACTTGGCCGGCCCCCTTAATGTTTAAATTAAAAAAAAATTTATTATAGTAAAAGATACATTGCCATTAATCCCCCTCAAAATACTCTCCCTCACTTCAAACACACTTATCCCATCATTCTTGTCACTTTCTGAGCAGTTCTGGAAGTCCTCTTTTGTGAGTGTCTTTAGTTGTGCTGATGTGGCTGCCCTGATGTCCTGAATCGATTCTAAACATTTACCTTTCATGGTCATTTTGACTTTGTGGAAGAGCCAGAAGACACACGGTGCTAGATCCAGTGAATAAAATGGACGAGGACACACCATCATGTTTTTATTTGACAGAAATTGCGGTACCAGAAGCAATATGTGACATGGAACCTTTCCGTTGTGATAAAAACATACGGTGAATGCTATTGCTGAATGTCATCCAACAGAAAGGCAGGGATCTTCAATACCAGAAGCGGCGTGTAAAACCTTAGTTAACAGTGTGTGTCCAGTTGCAACTTGTTCGGTGCAGTCGGGTGTTAGCTATGGTTGAGAGAAGGTGTGTTTTAAAGTGTGTCATAAATCATTCTCCATCATGACAATGCTCCGTGTCACCCATCACTTCTGGTATATGGCAATTTCTGTCAAATAAAAATATTACAGTGTAAGTGGCCGGGCGAGTGGCTCAGCTGGTTAAGAGCTCGCTCAAGAGTGCGAGCTCTGAGCAACAGGGTCCCCGGTTTGATTCACGGCCCGAGTTGAGCTGCCACTGAGCTGCCAACAAGATAGCAGGATGGCTCAGCTAAAAAAAACAAAAACAAAAACAAAACATATTACAGTGTGAACACATCCACCTTATTCACCGGATCTGGCACTGTGTGACTTCTGGCTCTTCCACAAAGTCAAAATGATTCAGGACATCAAGGCAGCCATGACAGCACAACTGAAGACATTCATGAAAGAAGATTTCTAAACTGCTTCAGAAAGTGGCAAGAACAATGGGATTAAGTGTGTTCAAAGAGAGGGGGAGTATTTTGAGGGGGATTAATGGCAATGTGTCTTTTACTGTAATAATTTTTTAAAATATTTAAACATTCACCATATTTTTTTTATCACACCTCATATAAGGACACTACAAAAGAAAATTACAGGCCAATACCCCTGATAAACACAGTTCCAAAAATCCTCAACAAAATACCAGCAAACTAAATTAAACAGCACATTAAAAGAATGATAGGGTGGCTGGTTAGCTCCGGTGGTTAGAGCGCAGGCTCATAACACCAAGGTCACTGGTTCGATTTCCACATGAGCCAGTGAGCTGCACCCTCCATAATTAGATTAAAAACGACTTGACTTGGAGCTGATGGGTTCTGAAAGAACACACTATTCCCCAATAAAGTTAAAAAAAAAAAAGAATCATACACAGTGATAAAGTGGAATTTATCCCTGGAATGAAAGATTGGTTCAGCACCCAAGAATCAATAAATGTAATACACATTAACAGAATAAAGGATGAAAATCATATATTCATCTTAACAGATGCAGAAAAAGCATTTGACAAATTCAACATCATTTTATAATAAAAACGCTCAATAAATTAGGTATGAAAGGAATGTCTTTCAATACAATAAAGGTGATGTAGACAAGCCCAAAGATAACATCATAGTTGATGGTGAGAAGCTGAAAGCCTTTCCTCTAAGATCAGGAATAAGACAAAGGTGCCCAATATCACCACTTCTCTTCAGCAAAGTACTGGAAGTCCTAGCCAGAACAATTAAAATAGAAAAAGTAATAAAAGGGGCCAGCCGAGTGGCACATTGGTTAAGAGCTGGCTTGGGACGCCAGCTCTGAGCAGCAGGGCCCCGGTTTGGATCCCACATGAGGGCCAGTGACACTGCCCTCTACAGCTAAGATGGTGAACAACAGCTCGACCTGGAGCTGGGATGCTGTGAGTCGCCAGCAACGACGTAGGCTGCAGCGGGCTGCCATAAGCTACCGTGTGTGGCTGGCAGCCAGCGTGAGCGGCCGGCAGCCGGTGTGAGCTGCCAAAAGCCACTGTGAGTGGCCGTCCAGAGGCCGGCGACAGATCTGCCTCATCCGGGAAATGCGCAATGATACCAACATGGGCCAGTGAAGCAACGTCCTCCACAACTAGACTGAAGAACAAAAAAAAGGACAGCAACTTGTCTGTTTCCCTTCCCCCGATTCCCCAGCGCTGTTCCCCTCCCCCAAGTCCCCAATAAAATCTTTAAAAAAAAAAAAGAAAGAAAAAGTAATAAAAGGCAACCAAATAAGAAAAGAAGAAGTAAAATTATCTGTTTGCAGATAATATGATCTTATATGTGTTGGAGAGGCTGTGGAGAAAAAGCAACCCTCTCATACACTGCTGGTGGGAATGTATATTGGTAAGCCACTATGGAAAACAGTATGGAGGTTCCTAAAAAAATTAATAGAGCTACCGTACAACCTAGTAATCTCTCTTTGTGGTATCTACCCTCCAAAATTGAAAACATTTGTTTGTGAAGACATGTATATCTCTATGTTCACTGCAGCATTAGTCACGGTAGCCAAGACATGGA